CTTAGGGGTGAGACATCTGAATCCCCTCTCCTCACCACAGCCTCTCCAAGTACGTAGCTCATGAAAGCAACAAGTTTGTCTTGCTCACTAAGCATTTATCGACACTGGGAACAAGTGTTCAAGTGTTCATTAGCTATTACATGAATGAATGAATACTGCTGTTATGTGCCCAGCGTTTTGCTTTTGTTTGTTTGTGAATCCTCCGTATGTCAAACATGTTAACACTTTGCCATTGGCTGGGCACGTTTTTCCAAGGTTAGTTGCCTTCTATCTAATATTTTTTTTTCTTTTCATGCTGAGGAGAGGGAGGAAAGAGGTTTTCAGATTTCATGGAAACAGAGCTATTGATTTGTCTCTCCTCCCCACTCCCACTGGGCTCTCTTTGCATGCTTTCAAGTTTAGAAAGTCTTTCCCTCACTGGATATTTGATAAGTGTTCATTAAAAAAAAAAATTTCTATGCACACTGATGTCAGTTTAATTTTGCCAAGTCAGAGCTTTCATTACTTCACTTTTCTGCCCCGAAATGCTTGTCTCCTGTGGCCTTGAAAAAAACCCAAGTTCTTAAACTTGGCCTTCACGGCTCTCTGGGATCCCATCTGAGGCTGCCTTTGTAGATTTTTCCTTTCTTTTTCCTTCATCCCTTTCCTTCCTTTCTTCCCTTATTTGAGAGCGCAAAGGAGGGAGAGAGATCTGCCACATGCTGGCTCATTGCCCCAGGTGCCTGCCGCAGCTCAGGCTGGGTCTAGTCGGATTCAGGCTTTGCCATGCTGGCGGCAGGGGCTACTGTCTGCTTCCCAGGGCCTATGTTACTAGGAAGCTGGAGTTGGGGGCCCAGGAATCGACTCAGGCGCTCCCGTGTGGAACATGGGCACCGTAACCTCCAGGCCGAATGCTCACCCCAGGGCCTTTCTTTTCTTGTCCCCCATTCAGTCTGAGCTCCTAGCAATGTGAGTATGTGCTTCCTGTTCTGTGTTCTCTGCTCCTTCCCACCTCGCAGCCATCGCTTCTGTTGCTCCCATAGAATGCCCATGGTCCATTTTATATCACTTTTCAGGTTAATGTTCATGCTATTTATTTTCATTTACGTGAAAAGGCAGCACAACAGAAAGTAAAAGACAGGGCCCCGGCATGATGGTGTAATGGCTGAAGTCCTCGCCTTGAACGTGCTGGGATTTCCATATGGGCGCCGGTTCTAATCCCGACAGCTCCACTTCCCATCCAGCTCCCTGCTTGTGGCCTGGGAAAGCAGTCAAGGACAGCCCAAAACCTTGGAACCCTGCAACTGTGTGGGAGACCTGGAGGAAGTTCCTGTATCCCGGCTTTGGATTGGCAGCACCGGTCTTTGCAGTCACTTGAGGAGTGAATCATCGGACAGAAGATCTTCTCTGTCTCTCCTCCTTTCTATATGTCTGACTTTGCGGTAAACATAAACAAGTCTTTAAAAAAAAAAAAAGTAAGTGAAAGAGAGAAAGAGAGAGAGAGATCTTTCATCTTTTGGTTTGCTACCCAAATGCCTGGAACAGCCAGGGCTGGACCAGGCTCAAGCCAGGGACCAGGAACTCTATCTGGGTCTCCACCATGGTGACAGAGGCCCAAATGTTTGGGGCATCATCTGCTGCCTCCCCGGATGCATTAGCAGGAAATAAGATCTACAAAGAAGGAACCAGGACTTGAACAGTCAACTCTGATATGGAATGCAGGTGTCCCAAGGAGTGGCTTAACTTACTGGGCCGTAACACCTGCTACTGTATAGGTATTTCCCACAAGTCTTCTTGTCTCCAAATAGCTCACCTTTCCCTTTTGCCTTGCAGGGTGAACGATGAAGGGGATAAGAAAGCAAGCTCTGGAAACACACATAGTGGAGTTCAAATCCATGTTTCACATCTCAGGGCAGGCATTATGCGACAGCAGATTAAGCTATTGTTTGGGACACCCACATCCCATATGAGAGCACCAGGGTGAATCCAGCTATTCGGTGCTTCCAGTCCAGCTTCCTGCTGAGGCTGCCGGGAAGCAGCCTTGGGTTTCTGATGCTTACATGGGAGCTCACGTGGAGTTTCTACATCCTGGCTTCAATCTGGCCCACTCCCTGCCCCACTCTCCACCTGCCTCTTCGGGAGTCACTAGCTGTGCACGGTCACAGCAGAGCTTCCTCCTGCAGCTGTGTCCTCCCTGGAATTCCATAAAGTGACTGAGCTTTCCCACTGGGCAGGCGCAGGGGACAGGCCAAGCTGGTCTCACTACTGGGAGCCCACCCAGGCCCTGGCCCCTTGGCGGGACTCTCACACCCATCCGGACCCAGTGTCTTCCTTCCTTCCTTCCCTCCTCCTCCCTTCATTCGAGCTCTGATGTCCTTCAGAGCTGTTTATCTCCAAAGGGAGAGCCCACCAGCCCCCAATGCTGTTGCTGTCAGCACTTATCTATCTTGGGTGAAGTCCTGCAGAGTCAATAGCATCCTCTCCATTTTAAGTTGGGTAAACTAAGCTTTAAACTAGCTTCCACACATGGATTCTTTGCAGCCAGAGAAAAGCAATTCTTGGTGGGTGTGGGAGGGTTGAGCAGCTGAGGTGGGCTTCCAGGCACCCTGGCTCCCCGGGTCTCTGCCTGCTGTCCACAGATGGCTTCCTGTCCCTCTCACGGAATCTGGCCGGGTACTCAGTGTCCATGCGTTTGTTTGTGAACCTGGAGTACTGTTCTTAGTAGATGATTTCTCCCGTCATGCGGGAAGGGGCAAGGATGAGGATTTGCTGGCCTGAGTGCGTGTGTCTCTGGGGCTGAGGGTGAGGCAGGACCTTCTCAGCGGAAAAGTAGACTTAACATCAGGAGAGCTGGGGTCTGCAAGGCCCCGTTCCTGAGCACCTGCGCCCTCTCCTCCCACACCTGCTCAGTGCACAGAAGGGGCCAGCATGAGTCAGCAAGTGCTGGGCTCCCACTGTGCTCAGTGACTCCTCACAGCTCCCTCCCTGAGCCAGACCACCCTAATTCTCTGACTCTATTCAGCCTCTTCCAGCTCCAGGCCTGTGCTGCTCCCAAGCACCTGCATGGCACGGACCTCAGCTCCCACAAACTGGAGCCGGGCAAGCTCACTTGTGACCTCTGCAGTCTCCTCCCCATCCCTTTCCTCTTGGAAGTCCAGCTTGGGACTCCAGAGAAGGTCTCTGGCCAGTCCACAGCTGGCTGAGGGGTGGGGGCAGAGCCCTGGGGCCCTGCCTGCCCTGGCGGAATCCCAGAGCTAAGCTACAAATGCAAAGTCCCCGCACCCATCACCACCCACAGCCTCAGGCCTGGGTGGGGAAAGTCAGTAGCCACTTCTGCCTGCACGCCAGGTGTACAGGGTGGCCTCAGGCCTAAGTGATGAGTGACCTTAGATGCCACACTGTCCTGACTGGCCCAATGCCTGGAGGCAGGGGAGGGCTACCCCAGTAACATTGAGATCATACGAGCTGGGGAAGGAACCTCAGGCTCCCAGTTGACCAGTGACCCCGAGGTCTCTAAGAAGTCACAGCCAAGGTCACAGCTGGGCCCAGCTACGTGGAAATGACCAGAAATGTGTGTTTTTCTACAGAGCTCCCAGCAACACTGTCATGGTCCCTTCACTCATGCATACACACACCCCGAGGTGCTGGCTGGGACTTGGCACACAGGGACTGATTCCCACTCACTTTGCCACCAGCCAGCCTGAGCTCTGCCTCCTCCTGCCATCTTGGGGGTGATGGGGTGACCCCGTCTCCTTGCCCCCTCACACATCCTGTTTTTCATTTGTTGTTTTAGGTGAGTCTGAGGCTGGCAGAGGAAGGTGGGGGCATCAGGGAATTTAGCAGGGGGATCAGCATGGAGCAAAAACAGGAAGGGGGTGGGAGGCGGCCATGGAAAATTCACTGCCGGGAAGGGAGGCCGCCATCTGGTTTGCATTAGGCTGTGAGGTTGCTGAAGCCCAAAGCCTGAGGGGGATGTTGTTGTCCGGCAGGCAGGGTGTGGCGCTGGTGGGGAGCCGGGGCTGCTCCCCTACAGACACAGAGTATGGAGAAAGCAGAAGGCAATCTGGAGACTGGGAGAAAGGACAGTCTCCTTGCAGAACTGACACCCTGACACAGAGGAGAAGCAAGTCCCAGAGTAGTACATTGAGCTGCCTATGATTACACAGCAGGGACCAGCACAAACTGGGATCCAAAATCAGACCGAGGGAGACAAGGTGGCACATTGCAGCTGGCCAGTGTCAGCACCACCCAATCTCAGAGTAACTCCAGCAGCATCAGCCCCAAGGGGCACCGGGCAGCGGATGGTGATGAGTGAGGGCTGGCCAGCCTCTCGCTGAGGGTCACTCCGTTCTGGTGCGGGTGTCTGGCAGTTTCCTGATCAAGTTAACCTTGGGCTCCAGTCCAGTGCCTGCAGAGGAAGAGGCACTCTACATGGGAAGCCTTCCTGGAGGAAGAGGCATGAGTAAAAAAAAAATCCATGGGGTGGAGCCTGCAAATAGGGTATGGGAGGACAATGGCAGCCAGCCCAGGCAACCTCAGAGAATGAGCACCTACTTCCTTGTGGGGGAAACTGAGGCACAGAGAGGCTAACCTCCCTGAAGTTTCAGAAATTGGAAGGGGAACTGAATCTAGCCTGGACTCCAGGTCTGCGGTTCCAACTATTGTACTGAGTTATCCTTTAGTTAGAAGTTCTAAGGGGATCCTGAAGCCATGGGTAGTGGGGGCAGGAGTTGGGGGACAAGGGCTTGTGCCAGGCCGCACAGCCAGCCAGGGACAAGACCAGGGCTGCACCAACCGTCTGGAAGCAGCATGCTAGGTAAAGTGGGGACAAGCACCCCAGCCAGGGGGCCAGCAGACCTGGGGCCTCAGGCTGCCTGCAAGCGTCTCACTGTCCCCAGCCTGGAGCCCAGGCAGGAGGCCCCAGGGACTGTGCCGCCTGCTGAGCTGCGGGAGTTAATAATTAGGGGTGAAGGAGGCACAGGCCTGCCTGGGAGACGCCTCCCTCATGCACTGCTGCTCCTCAGAGATAGCAAAGGTTAGCGTGAGGCTTGCCAGCCTGGAGAGTAGAGAAGGCCAGCCACCTCTCCTCCCGCCAGCCCAGAGAGACCCCCAGGCTGGCGCCTCAATGATGGACAATGCCACTGAGGAGCCCAGAAGGTGCCCTGCCAGAGGGTCGTGCCCAGTGTTCCTGGCCATGAGCTCAGGGGTTGTCCGATATGCCCCATCAGGCCTGGGCCCGGCCCTGGAGGGGAGCTTAGGAGAGAGGCCCTGGAGCACAGACAGGTGAGTGCCTGGGACAGGGGAGGGGCATGGCACCACGCTATGGGGGCATGGCAGGCAAGAGGCACCGTGTTCCAGGATTGGGACCCAGAAGAGGTCAGCCAGACAGAGGGTGAGGACGGGGGGAGGGGTGGTCCTCCCTGACCAGGGGGTGAGGACGGGGGGAGGGGTGGTCCTCCCTGACCAGGGGGTGAGGACGGGGGAGGGGTGGTCCTCCCTGACCAGGGGGTGAGGATGGGGGGGGAGGGGTGGTCCTCCCTGACCAGGGGGTGAGGACGGGGAGGGTGGTCTTTCCTGACCAGGGGAGGTGAGGACAGTAGGGAGGGATGGTCCTAATTGTCCTCTGCAAACTGATGGGAGCTGAAGCTCAGAGAGGGCACGCCACTGGTCCCAGGTCTACAGTGAGCTGAGGGCAGACCTAAGGGCAGAGCTGGGGCCTGGGTCAGCCAGGCTGACGGGCTCTTGCTTCTCATCTGACTTCAGCCATGGGCTGGCTGAGAAAGGGAGGGGATGACGGGCCAAAGAGGGGGGACAGAGGAAAGGAGGCTGCGGAGGGCATTGGACATCTGCCTCCCTCCCTGCCTGCTGGGTTGGGCACCTACAATCCGAGGGAGCCTTTTGGTGTCTGGGTTGTCTTTTTTAGGGAAGAAAAAAAAAGTCCAACAGCACTGGCTCCTTGCTTCTCCCTGGCTGTGTGACACCAGGCAGGTGTCTTGGCCTCTCTAAGCCTCTCCTTTGCAGCTCAGGAGTAGGGGTTTGCTGTGCTGTCGGGAGGAGGCACGGCGCCCATGGGAGCTGAACACATAGATGGTTCTGGTTAGTGACTGTCTCCCTGGCGGGAGTGGCGGGCACACACTCACCCTTCCAGACCTTGCTCCACAGCCTGCTCAGCCTCGTCCTCCCTGCCTGCCTGAAAACAACTCCCCTGGCCACAGCCCTGGGCCGACACCTCCTCCACCCTTATCGCCCAGGCTCTCCACTGCCATTCTTTATCTCTTGCCCCAGCTTAGAAAGCAAGGGCTCCAGGCCCTGAGCCCAGCTCCTCTGTGTCATCTCCTCCTTCCCCTACCCAGAGCCAGGAAGAAAGCAGTTGCTCAATTCTGACTTGGCGAAGGATAGAAGTCAGCAAACAGACGCTGACATCTGCCTGGGGCCAGCCCTGAGCCAGACTGGGCGGGGTGGAGGACACAGCTCCAAGATGCACTGGCTCCTGCCTTCTGCAAGTAACATTCGCGGACACACCGGCCTAGCCGGGAGCGGAAGCGCGGACGAGAGGCCTGTTGTGAATGAGTCTGGAGCGTTTTTCGCAAGGCGTGCCGTGAAGGGGTGTTCGGGTTGTTCACTGCACAAGGCAGCCTCTCGACTCACCAAGTCCTGGAACTCAAGTGTGAGCTGCTTTCAGCTGGCAAAGGCATTCTGTTTTCGACTGCGAGCAGAGGCGCCCTTTGCTTGGCAAGGAGTGCCCTGGGCAAGTGCAGGTCCTAGGAGCGTGCTCCCTGGGGTCCCAGGAGGGCAGAGGCCCCAGCCCTTGCATGGGCCCAAGGTTTGGGCTTACAGGAGTAGACAAGTGAATGAAAGGCAGCCCCAAATGAAGACCTGCTCAACTCAGGGTCTCTGAGCCTGGAAGTGGTGTAGCCAGCGTTGTAGTGCCCCCTACCGGGGAAATCCCTGCCCTGACAGCCCCTACCTCCTCCAGACAGGCAGGGTGGAGCCCGAAGCGGGTAGGGATCCAGACCCAGGCTGGAGACAGGTTCTGTGGAGACTGAAAGCGGGCATGGAGTGGAGGTCAGGAATGCCAGGGGCAGTGGGCGCAGGCAGACAGGTGTCCCACAGGGGCAGGGGACCTGAGGCAAAGGTGGGCTGTAGTCCGGAGGAACGCAGCAGGGGCCACCCTCACCCCTTCCCGCATGCAGGGGTGTGGCTGGCAGGCCAGCTGAGGGCGTGAGGGGCTGCTGGCCTTGGTAGTCAGGAGGCTGGGAGCCATGGGAGCTTCTTGGGCAGTGCTGGGCAGTGCTGGGCAGTGCTGGGCCGTGCTGGGCTGTGCTGGGCTGCTTCCTGGAGCATCCCGCGCCGGCTGCAGGATCCCGGGCATCCAGGACGTGCCCCCCTAACTCGCCGCTCGCTGTCCCCCGCGGCCCCCCGCAGCCAGCCGGCCGGGGGCGGGGCCGGGCACGTGTCCTCGGGCCGCCCCCACCGGCCACGTGACCGGGCAGGGGCAGCGGCAGGGCAGGGAGGGGACCGCTGGCCTGGCGGGCCGACTGCCCCAGCGGCGGCGGGAGGGACTGACAGGCGGCGGGCGGGCGGCCCGCGGGGCCCGGGGCGGAGTCGGCGGCGGCCCGGGGACGCGGCGCGTGGCGGCGGCGCAGCCAGGACGCGGCGGCCGGGCGCGGGGCACCGACTCCCGGGCGCCCCGAGGTGCCGGGATGTGGAGCGGGTAGGTCCCCGTGTACGCGGGCCGGGGCTTGGGCCGCGACTGCGTCCCCGGGCGGGAGGATGGGGGCTGGGGACCGGTGTCCCCCGCCGGGTCTGCGCCCCCAGTCGGGCCTGCGGAAGGAGCAGTGCCTAGCGAAGACAGCGGCGAGCCGGCAGATGGGAGCGAGGATGCTTTGGGGGGAGGGATGGGGTCTCCCGGTGGTCAGCCAGGCGGCCGGGCGGCGGACTGTCCCGGCGTGACAGCGCCAACTCCTCCTGGCTCCTCGCGAGCGCTGAGGGGTGGGGAGGGGGCACTGTGTGTACGCTAAAGTCCATCTGGTCCCGCTCCTGGATGAGGGATGAACTCTGGAAAAGCGGCGTGGCCGTGGCAGGGAGGCTGGGTCTTAGTCAAGGTCGCCGGCAAGTTGATGGCAGAACCTCCTTCTGGGCTCCCCGAGCCTGGCGGCATTGACCCTCGCTCGGCCTTGGGCTGGGAGCAGCAGGCCACGGATCTGTTAGGGGGAACGTTGGTTTTCCCTGCTGGTCCCTGGTCCTGGCTCTTGTGTGATGGGCACCCCTGCCCGGTCGTACAGGAAGGTTGTGATCTCTCATGGAACGCGGCAAACACTTCCTCTTCCCAGTGGCTTGGAAAGAGCAGGTCTTGGAGGAAATGGAACGGGAGTGGGGGCGGGGGGGGGTGGCCAGGGGCAGGCTGGGTGGCTTTCCTCCAAGGCTCCTAGGAAGCTGAGCTGAAAGGCTGGGGTGCAGTGGGGCGTGGTCCCCAGCAGGGGGATGCTGGCACAAGGGTTCCCCTAGAACTAGGGGTGGGGGAGTAGGGGGCGCTGGGACCGTCAGAGGAAGAACAGAAGCAGAGCTGGTGGGGGAAGGAGGGTGGGCCTAGGGAGAAGGTGCTTGGATGGGTATTTCTGCCAGTGTTCTGTGCACCCCCGAGGGAGTGCAGCTGGCCTGGATGGAGCTTGTGACCTGTTGGGTTGGGGAGAACAGCTGTGTGACCTCAAGGGTGAGGCCTCCCTCTCTGGGCCCCTAGGTGAAGTCAGTGGATTATGGGGCTGGAATGACACTGGTCAGGGAATGCCCTTTCCCAAAGGCTTCCAGGCGGGAACCTCCCAGAAAGTTCAGCAGATGAAGGAAACTCAGGGTCCCTGACAAGGCCCTGGGTGCAACCTCCCTGCCATATTGCCAGGACCCTGCTCGAGTCAAGGGTCGCTGCTTTCACAAGTGAATGAGTAGGGAAGCTAGGGCAAAAGTGGAGTAGCCAGGACCTTGATGCTGAAATTGCTGCCTCCACATCCAAAGTGAGAGGTCCAGGGCTGTGAGTGGACGATGGGTGCAGCTTGGGACACACCCCACTCCCTAGGGGCACTGACTCAGAACCCTCATTCTGTTAGAGCAGCTTGTACTTGGGACCGCCAGTGGCTCCCGCCGACTCTGGGAAGTAGGTAGGGGTGGCTGGCAAGTCAGTGACCCTCGCCGTGCTATTTCTGGGACTCTGTTTTGTTTCCTCCTTGGCTAAAGCAGTTGAGGCATTGCTGGGTGATTGAGCTCCATCAGCGGCTGAGTCCCAGCCCCTCAATGGCCCGCCCCTGCTGGGCTCTTCTCCCCTGGGACTCCCATGCATGGGCCTGCACAGTGAGCCCAGAGTCAGTGCAGTCCAAGTCCCTCCCCTTCCCCAAAGCTTGCCTTGGAGTCCTGCTCTGGGGAGGAGAAGTAGCATCCTGAGTCCTTTTATTTAAACATATAAGAAAATGTTCTTTTTGTTGAAGAAGTAGTTTCAGAGAGAGAAGGAGAGACAGAGATCTTTCGTCCACTGATTCACTCCCCAAATGATTGCAACAGCTGGAGCTGGACCATTCCAAAACCAGGAGTGTGGAACTTCTTCCAGGGCTCTCACATGGGTGCAGGGCCCAAGCACTTGGACCATCCTCTGCTGCTTTCCCAGGCCACATTAGCAGGGAGCCTGATGGGAAGTGGAGCAGCAGGGACATGAACTGATGCCCATATGGCATGCTAGTGCTATAGGTGGAGGCTTAATATATATGCCACTGTGCCAGCCCCACCTTGAGTACTTCTGCATCTAACACAGTGCTGGGTACATGAGATTTGGTCAGCAGAGGTCAGAGCTTGGGCTGAATTTCAGCTTACCAAGTGGCCCTATAACATAGTTGGGGCCCCATCCTTCCCAGTTTCCCACCTGACAGATGGGACTCATTGCACCTGTCTCTAGGGAGGGCTGTGCCCTGATGGAGTGTCTGCCTGGGAAGTAAGGGAGGCTATCTTTGCCCTGGCTGGACACTGGAGAGCTCCATAACTACAGGTGTCCCATACTAGCTGTGTGATCCTAAGCAAGTCACTCAGCTGGTCTGGTCTTAGGGTCTGTGATTTGTCACCTGTGAGGCTAAGGACAAGGAACTGCCAGCCCTGAGATGTGTGGCCTGAGGGGCCCACCCTCCGGCAGGTGGACATGCTCATGAGGAAGACATTGCATAACCTCCACAGGTGCTGCCTCCTGGACGCCCTGCGTCATCTAGCTCCCCAACCCCCTCCACAGGTGGAGGCCTCTTTCCTAGGCT